CCTGCCCTCTGATGGCACTCAGAATCTGCTAGCAGCTGTGGTAGCTCCATTACTAAGGGGAGACTTGAGTTGAATTTCCTTCCAGAGAGTCAACAGAAGCCTCAGAAAAATCAAACTTTAGAGAAGTTATAACCTGGCAGCTCATGTAAACTGCTCCAGCTGAGGAACATTTTGGAAGGATGCTCTATAAGAAATTAAAATACATCTTCTCTTGGAAGAAAAGGGCCAATCTCTTTGGAATCAATGAAGCTGGAATTACAGTAAAGGAACCTTTTAAATCATGGGGTGACTCCTTCTGAGGAGATCACCCTGAAGTCCCTTAGGGTTTCAGAACAGTCTGGTTTGGAGTCTGTAGCTCCCATTGTCCAGAGCAGAGACATTGAAGCAGACTTTGTTTTGATAGCTTCTGAAGAAAAGTTTTGGGTTCCTCTGAAGGAATGAGAAGAGGAATGTTCTAGTTTGTCTTGCCTCTGATTTTGCTGTGAGGGTTAAATTCCTGCCAACTTCTAGCTGGTGGATTTTTTACCATTTTGTCACTGCTCAAACATCAATCAAGCCATAGCTAATGGCACTTGTATTTTAAGTAGGGTGAGTCAGGGTATCCCTGAAGACAGACTCCATGGAGCTTCCCTTATGATTAAGGAAGTAGAAAACACACCTGTAAAAGGGACATAGTGGTACCAAGCAGGATAGATTTGATAACTAATGAACAATATAGGTAATAGTATCTTGGGAAAAGGAAAAAAATCAATGAAAGCGAAAAATAGGAGAACCATGCCTTGACAGATTGATAAGATTTGGGGAGATGGAAAGAGTAGGGCCTAACCCATCATGGAGGGGAAAAAGAGGTCAGAGACAGGAGAAGTCTGGAGGTACGTGTGGGAGACAGTAAGAGGAGTTTGGATAGCTCAGTGTCTATTCTGGCAAGTTCTGGGACAAGGGAATAATAGATGGAAGAGGGTCAGCAAAAGAGAATGGAAATATCAGAAAGAAGACCTGGAAAGTGGACCCTTTCTCATGTATTCTTCAGTAAGTCTCAAAACCTCATCAATGGGATGCCCAAATTCCCCAAGTCTGTGGTTGGAGATGGTATTGGGCTCCTTGATTTCTTCCCTCTTCCTGTGTGGGAGTCTTCAATAGAATGTCTTTAACAGACAAGAGGAGCCTGAGCTACTGGGAGGCATTGATAGTTGAGGAATTCCTCCTGTGCTCTGTGAGACAAGAGCAGCAAACATAGATCCTGGGAAAGAGATTTGGAACTCAAGGCACAGAGTAAACTCTCTTCTGCCCTGTCTGGTAGAACTTTCTGATGGGGATGTTCTGAATTTGTGCTGTCCAGTTGAGTGGCCACTAGCCCGTGTGGCTGCCAACCATTTCACACGTGGCTTGCATGACCACGACACTGAATTCTATAATGAACTATATAAGAAATCTCTGCCCTCAACATTTTTAATAATCTACCTAAAATTTTAAAGCAATGAATATATGAGAGAATTTTTTAAAAGATAAAGTGAAATGCTTCAAAACAGCAAGATAAAACATGTCACAAGATGATTTGTGTCTCAGATAATAAGTGTCATATTTAGGGAAGGGTGAGGAAATTTGAGATAGAATGAGCTAACATAGGGCTTTAAGGAGAAAGGTTAAGCCAAATTTTGAAGGAAGCAAAATGACAGATACAAATCATAAGATTTTGGAATTAGAAGGGATCATAGAAATAATCTAATTCAAATCCATCATTTTATGGCTGATTCAACTAAGGCCAGAGAGTTAAGTGACTTGTTCCCATTTCCTCATCTGGATAGTAGTGGCAGAAAAATGTCTAAAATGCAGATCTGTTGATGCTCATCCAAGCCCACATGGGATAAGGAGTAGAGTCTTATAGTTAGGAAAGGAGAAAGTGTTCTGAAATGAATCAGTGAAGCCATGTCTCTGAGGACGTTTTCTGTGTGTAAGAGCAGAAAACATAGGGGAGGGGGAAATATTAAAGGGGCTTGCAAACCTGCAATTAATCAGTTATGCAAATCCCAGAATTGCAATTTCTGAAGTCTCCCTTTGACACAGGGACAATGACATAAACTTTTCTAGAAAAATGCTGTTCTTCTCATCCTGACAAAGACTCAAGTTGACCTGAAGAAGGGGAGAACTGGCATTGACTGCCAATCTATAGAGGGCAGGGTTGGATGTTATCACTACAGGTCCTCAGAAACCCTGATTCGGTAGATTTAGGAATTTATAGGGTTTTAAAGTGCCCCTATGATTCTCGTGATCATCTAGTATGAAGGATATTCTGATTTACCCCTTTACCAATCTATCAAATATAGACTACCACTTTGGAAAACTGACAATGTTTACTAAATGCATGTCTCTAGGATCCAGCATTACACACCCAGACATATACTCTTGTGTCCCCCAAAAGGCATACATAAGAATATCCAGATTATTATAATCCCAAACCAGAAACAATCCTGTATCCATCAGTATTAGAATGGAAAAAAAAATTGATGTATATTCATCCCATGGAAACCTACACACAATTAAAGAGAACAAGCCACTGTTACATGCACCAATAAGAATAAATACAGAAATAATGATAAGCATAAGAAGCCAGACACAAAAGAACAGTCACTACACAATTCCATTTATATGAGATTAAAGAATTGGCATAAATAATCTAATGATTAACCAGGAAGGGCCTAAGAGACACTCTAGGGGTCCTGAACTCTTCTATATCTCAATCGGATAGTGGTTATGCAGATATATAGACATGTAAAAATGTGTCAAGCTTTCAACTTGTTGAGTTTACTGTGTATATAGATTACACCTTGTGGAAAAGAAAAGATACAGAATTTGCACTGTCAACCTCACAAGGTTGTAATAAGAACCCCACAGTTTGTTGGGCGCAGTGGTGCATGCATGTATCCCAAGACTCAGAAGGCTGAGGCAGAAGGATCACAAGTTCAAGGCCAGTTCCGGCAACTTAGTAAGACCCTAACTCAAAATCAAAAATTAAAAGGGCTAAGAATATGGCTAAGTGATTAAGCAGCCTAGGTTCAATCCTTGGTACTAAAAGAATCCCATAGCTTTTTGAAATAGACACGTAGAGTCTGCTATTCTTTAACAAGTTCAATAATGATCCTTCTCCTTGAAGCCAGTTACATGTACTACCTGTGATCCAGGTGACCCAACAGCTTTCTGAAGTTCAGCAAAACATACAAAGTTGGTTGCATGGGAGCTCACAGTCACTTCTGAGCTTGGAAAGGACACATAGTAACTGTAAACTGACTGAGGACACACTGCAGCTGCCGGCATGTGCTTCCGAAAGAGCTTTCTCATTCTGCTGATGGGGGGGGGGAGGTCCCTGCAGCTGCATCTTTGCATTCTGTGCCCCCACTTTCCTCTCTGTTTCCCTCCCCCGGAAGACAGTAAACACCATCTGTATCACTGCATTCAGCAACCCGGAAACCAAAATCTCTTTTTCCCATCAAGAAAATTACCCTCATCCTGAAGTGCTCCTGGCCATGGGTAACCAGCCACACAGTTTCTGCCAGCTACAAAGTTTGCCGGCTCTGAATTTACCCTGAAACCGTCTGTGGCCACTAGTACCTGATGTGCAATTGTGCAGGGTAAGAATAAGGTGAAGGTAAGTGAGAGAGTAGGCGCAAGGCCCTCATTACTTACTTTTTCAGTCTTTGAAAATGTGCTGAGCGGTGTACTTCAGGCAGCTAAGTATAAACACATGTCTACAAACACTGATAACACTATCTTTATTTGTCCATTATTCAACAAAGCTAGCTCACCTGAGGACTGTTTGTTCCTCTACAAAATGAGAATCCAGTGCCACATGTATTAAAATGTGGGACATTTTTTTTTCAGAGTATAAACTTTTAAAGGCAGTTTCCACACCTTTTCTGGTATACTCTCAAGTCCTAGGGTTTCTTTAACATATAACATAAAGTTGATTTTAAGATAAAACTATATAGTCTGATTCATTGTATCGGTTTTTCTGAGTTTGACCATTTAGTTTATGCCGTGTCTGATTTTCAGAAGCCAGGAATACATAAGACATGTTCAGCAATTTGTGTGAACAACCTGCAGGTATTTCCTGAGTTGTGAATTCAAGCAAGTATTTTTTGTTTTAGCAAGATAGATGTTTGATAAATGTTCAAGAATGAAAATGAATTTTTTCAAGAGGGAAGAAATGTAAATTTTTTATGCAGTATGATCACACAAGCAATACCATCCATGAATATGTCTATTTCCTAGAATAAAACCCTATGCTGGACTCCCTCTTCATCCCTCACCCCTGAAAAACCCCAAGGAGAGTGCATATCAATAAAGATTTTAAAATTAGGAGTCAGCCTTGAATAGATCTTTATCCAGAAGGAAAAAACCAAGAAAACCAATACTGTTCAATTCCATTGAAAAGAGACTTAGAAAAGCAGCACACAACTCTTCAGTCACAGAAAGCCAAATACAAAATCAGCTGTGAGAAAAGTTAAACTGTCTGAGGAAAATGAATTTCAAAGAAATGAGCCTTATTTTCTCCTCTTCGTTATTTCTCAAAGAATATTTTGACGAAGTACCCTGAGATTTTTCTGTTCTCTGAAGTTTTTCAATTGCTACTAAGAAAACATTCACCTGAGGTTGAAACTATGGGGCGTGATCATCTTTCTTACTGGCCAATTAATTCTGCAGGAAGGGAGAAATTAGGAAAAGGTAATGACTGGTCTCCAGAAAATGCACCTCAATCTTAATGCTCACAAATTTCCCTCCCCCCTCGTTTGTCTCCTGTCTCTCTATTCACTCACTTTTCTTTCTTAAACCAACAAGTCAAACTCAAGAAGTAATTCCCAGAGCAAAAACATACCTGGCAGGGAATCTGAGTTTGAATAAAACTTCCTATTGTGCACACAGCTCTGTCTGTCATGACATGGGAGTTGTTTCCTGAAACATCTACCACCCCAGGACAGCATGCAACTTTCAGCCAGTCTGCTTACCTGTCTGCCGACAGTGCTGTGAGTGTGAAGACAGACACCCCGACCGAGGTTAGCTGTATAAAGGGGATCAGCTTGCAGCCAATCCTGCCAAATAGCCATCTGTCAGCCAGGTACCTGCTGGCATCAACAGGAGCACACGTTACCAGGAGGAGCAGGTCTCCCAAAGCCAGACTGGAGATGAACAGGTTCGGCACATTTCTCATGGACTTGACTGTACAGAAGATCTTGATCAGAGTGATGTTGCCAATGAGGCCTATCAGGATGATAACCCCATAAATTGCGGGGATGACATACAGGATCCCCGGGTGGAACCAGTCGTCATTCACAGGGAGATCCATGCTGTTACTGGAGGCATTGCAGTTTGTGAAATTGTCCACTTTCAAGTTCAGAAGTAAACAATTGTTTGGATCCATCTCTAGACTTCTTCTCACCTAAAAGTGCCCTGAAGATGCTGTTTCTTAACTTTTGATGTTGCTGTAAGGTGAAGATGAGGATGAGATCTAGTCTGGCCTCTTTATCTTCTTTAATAAAAATTCCCTAAGTGTGTAGATACTATGGTATTCAAAACTGTCACTATTTTGATGCTGGAACTGCTCTGGCCTTTTCGTAACCAGTGCAGTACACCTCAATCAAACAAGTTAACAACAAAAACTCAGTCCAAAGAAAGGCTTAGCATGAAGCCCACTCTGTCTCAGCTCTATCTATCTCCATCCTAGTCTGAGACTCCCCGGCTACAGTGAATCAAGAACTTTTGGCCTGCTGTTTTCACACTGCATTTCCTGTCTTTCCTGATATTTAGAACCTGAAGGTTTAAAGTGGGTAGAAAAAAACTGCACTGGGAAAGTCTCAAATCCTATAGGCAGGATGCTTTGCACGTCACCGGCTTCACCAGCAAACAGCAGCTCTCCTGAGCGGAGGCTCTGAAGAGGAACCAGACCACGTATAGACAGAGAATGCCAGCCCCCTACTGGACACTGCGATCACTGCCCAGCCGCCCGCTCTCTGCAAATGAGAACCAACCAGCAAACCGCAGTTCCTACGTGGCTTAACACATACCTTTGGCTTCTCTTTTAAGCACGCAGAACCTATGGTAGGTGCTTAATGAACGTTGCTGGCACTTTGCAAAAACGTTGGAAATATTTCCCACACTATCTCCATGAACTCAGATGGGATTCGTAGCCCATTTCCCCCCACTTTTCTGATACATTAGAATGGCATGTTAGGGCTGCTCTAAAAGGAGGTCTGTGAATTCAAATCCCAGAGATGCACGGGGCGTCTGGCGTGAGCTGTCCAGCTCAGCCTTCTTGGAAAGGGGACTGCTACTGAGAAACGCACACAGGACTCATACCTTGAACCTCCAAAGACAGACATCTGGGAAGACCAAAAGCACAATGCACACATGCTCTTTCCTGGCGATTTGCCAAGCCCTTCCTGTTATTTGCCAGCTGTATCCTTAACTCTCAAAGATCAATAGTCTTTTCCAGAAAATTGTGGGTTTTTTCCCCCTCATGTGATCTAAAAATTATATGAATTGGCATGTTGATGTAGCTATTTGCATTTTTTAATTGAATGCTTGCTACGTTTTATAGCAAACTTCCTCTTAAACCCTGAGTGGGAAATAAAGAACTATAAAAGATTTACAGATTCTCCCAAGGAATTAGGGGGGAGGATGGGGTAGTGGAAAGAAATAAGTAAGAGTTAAAAGAATGGTAGGAAAGATTTCATTAAGGAAATACTATCAGAATCAGACTTAGGCCCTTAGCCAACAACTTATAAATATATCGTAAGAGTATATCTTCAAGACTTATGTGAAGCCAGTTCTTCCAGGACCCATTAGGAATAAAGAAACTTGTACTTGTTACCCTGCCAGGGCCCACCAGAAAGCTTCCAAGAGTATTGTCATGAATATTTCTGGTGGCAGGTTACAACAGCAAGATGGCTGCCATGCTTCTTCTGTAAATATGAAATACTCCTTTTAGCCAACAGTAGGAAGACTGATGCTACATGGCTGGCGGTAGAAGATTCTCAGTGGAGCTCCATCATTAGCAATGAGTCAATAACCATGAGCCTATTGGTGTCAATCAGTTGCCAGCTGTATGACTTAATGATACAGTACGTGGACTCTGCTTCAATCCTGGGTCTCTCATTTACTACCTTTGGTAAGTTAGTATCTTAAGGTTCAGGTTTCTCATTTGTAGGGTGGGGATAATTTGTGAAGCTAAATGAAATGATTCCTGTTAAGATAGAATAGTACAGGGTGTAGTGGTGCACACCTCTAAACCCAGCAACTCAGAAGCTGAGGAAGGAGGATCACAAGTTCAAGGCCAGCCTCAGCAACTTAGCAAGACTCTGTCTCAAAAATAATAATAAAAATATTAAAAGTACTAAAGGACTGGGGGTGTACGTCAGTGGTAAAACACCTCTCAGTTCAAGCTCCAGTATATTTAAAAAAAAAGAATAGCATTTGGTCTATAGTAAGTGTCCAATTAATATTAGCCGCTTATTATTATTACTGCAATTATTACTTTGGAATTGAGGGGAAACAGTTTATTTTGGAAAAGGTCAGAAGAGTAATTGCTCTCAGATCAACAAGCAAGGGGTTCTATTTATACTAGTGAATCAACAACTCCTCTATTCATTTGAAAAAAATTTTTTCATCATCTACAGTTGCCAGACACTGCATTGGAGGCTGAGAAAAATAATGTGATGATATGTACACCAGCAGCTCATGAACCCCATGCCCTTTCTAGAATGCAGTACCTATGTTTTCTTCAGGAAAGGTGACAATTGACCTCAAAGGTTGAGTCAGTGTTTGGAAATTGAGATGGTGATGGATCCTGCATTTTTTTTAAATGCTTATTTTTTAGTTGTAGTTGGACACAATACTTTTATTTTATTTATTTTTATGTGGTGCTGAGGATCGAACCCAGGGCCTCACACGTGCCAGGCGACTGCTCTACCACAGAGCCACAACCCCAGTCCAGATCCTGCATTCTTATTAAGAAGTTTGGTAAAGAGTTTTGGTTCACAAAGACTTTTTCTGGAAACTGTTTCTCTTTATTTCTTTAGCTACCTTTGTGTGTTGAGTCAGCCTCGGTTCTTAAATCCAATTGGGCAATTAGTGTTTCTTCCCATGTAAGTTAAGCAGATGCTGATCGATGTTGATTCCTCACAGCTGATGTTAGGATTCTGTGTTCCACAGCACTATAGAATGTTCTAATGGCATTTTAGGAGTGAAGGGTATATTGAAGTTTGACACCTCATATTTTCTGAGATCAAAGATGGTTTAAAAGGCTAATTAGAAAATTTCAATGTCATTTCCACTAATTAGCTATACTGATTCTTTCCATCCCTACCATTATGTGTCACCTTCCTGCAGAACACCAAACATTCTCTGACCTTTGCTTAGCTTTGTATTTAGTGACAAGTTATGAGAAAGCCTGTGACTTGTGAAAATGACATGAAACAAATAGAATAAGAGTCCCTGTCCTGAGGGATTCCGGTTTCTGAATTGAATTGGAGGGTGACTCAGCATCTTTTCTTACGTGTTGGGGACCGGATACACTTTTATTTCAGCCAATAGAATCACATTTTTCCATTTTCCCAGAAAAGCAGATTTTCTGTGAGACTTAATATGGGGATGGGGCGCTGACTTGCTAAAGTTAAGGAGGATGGGTAGATTTAATGGGATGGAAGAGAGTAGAAACGAAGTCTCTTCCCTCTAACTTGGTGAAGCAAAAATATGCATTAATTGGGTATGATTAATTATAGAGTGGGTAGAATTTGAAAGTAGAGCTACAAGAAAGAAAAGGGTATGCTCTGAAATCTGCTTGAGAGACAGTCTCCCTGTAACAAAGGTTTGGAAGGGAGTGAAAATGAGAAATAAAAGATCTTGGATCTGTTGGGTAAGACTGCATTTAAGGTTTTAGGTTAAAGTTTATCTTATAAGATACAGTTCTTTAAAAAAAATATTCATTAAGATTTATTGAGGTGCTTTATAAATATATAAACTCTGGGATCCTAGCCCAGATCTACTGAGTTGGAATCTCCAGGGATAAAACCCCCAAATCAGTATTTTTCATTAGGTCTCCAGGGGATTCCAGCACTGTGTTATACTGGGGACCAGTGATGTAGGCAGTGTGTGATTCAAGGATTCTGACAACATGACAGCACCTGTTCTGGTCTTCCTGCTGAGAAAGATGGTAAATAAGAAAACATATTTAAGAGTTTGATGCTATGGGCTCTTGCTACCCAAAATGTGGTCTGTGAGTCAGCAGTATGGACATGACCTGAGAGCATGTTACAAATATAGAATTTTGGCTGAATGTGGTGGTACACACCTATATAATCCTAGCTACTCAGGAGGCTGAGGCAAGAGGATCACAAGTTCAAGGCCAGACTGGGCAACTAAGCAAGACCCTGTCTCAAAATGAAAAGGGCTGGAGATACAGCTCAGTGGTCAATCCTCATGACCACACACCCCCTTCAAAAAAAAAATGTCTAGACAGGTACTAGGAACAGATGGGAAATTGGAATCTCAAGTTCAGAATGGAACCAACAACTGAAAAATTTCAAAGCTAAATTAAGAACCGTTGAATTGGAGTTTTTTAATATCCCTGATAGTGGCTGAGAATTGTCCCAAGCTATATGGCAGGTAAGTTGTTTTTGCTACAACACAGAGGCAACAATCCCATCACAGGAAATACAGGCAATGGAGAAGCCCAGGATGGCAATTTTCTCAGGGTTTGTCACTCAGAGAATAAAGAAGGACAAGAGGGAAGTCACTCTAGAAGGAAATGCCGAAGCTGGTTTATATTGAGTTTGCTCTATGAACAAGGGGATGTAAGTCCACCAGTGGAATTGAGAGGTGAAATCAGAAGGCAGAGGGTAAAAAATGAAGAGGACCCACAAAACTCGAAAGTTGAATGACACACAATTTAAATGTATAGTAAAAAGATTGGTGGAGAATTGAGTGAAGTTAGGCTTTGAGAAGGTCATGTGGTTAAATTCAGTGGGTACCGAGCATGATTTCATTATTAGATTTGTGACAGTATCGTGGAGAAGCTGCTAAAAAGATTGCAGCAACCCCCACTTGAGAAGAATCAGAGATGTCAAATTTTAGTCCTGCAGCAGAAACAAACGAGGCAGATGAGTCTATCCAGATCCTGAGATCCTGGGATCATTTCAAGTTCCCTTTTCTGTTCTCAACTTTCTGTGACTTTTCAATGGACTGGAAAATTTAGGAGAAAGCTGAAGGGAGAATTCCAGGAGAAAAAGTCAAGTTGCAGGAGTAAATGTGGATACCCAGAGGAGTCCTGGAGGGAAGTCCACATTCTTAATCAGTGGGGAGGCCAAGAGAACACCTGGTGTGGTGGTTTTAAAATATACCCTTCAATTCTTGGTATGCTTTTCTTTAAGAGACAGAGACTAATCTACTTCCCCTTGGATGTGAGCCATACTTACTGACTAGCTTCTAGCAAGTGGAATGAGACTACAGGGACAGTGTAATTTCCAAGACTAGATGGGAAAGGACACTGAAGCTTCCTCTTTGGGATCACTTGCTCTGGAGGAAGTCAGCTGCCATGTCTTGAGGACACTCAAGTGACCCTATTGATAGGTCCACATGAACTGAGATCTGTCCACACCTATGTGAGTGCATCATTTTGGGAGCAGATCCTCCAGCCCCAGTCAAGCCTTCAGATGACAGCAACCTCAGTTGACACCTTTTGTGAGGGACCCAGAATCAGAACCACCCAGCCAAGTCACTCCCAAATTCCTACCTGACAGAGATTGTAAATTCATAAATGTTTGTCATTTTTAAACCACTGTTTTGTGGTAATTTGTTATGCAGCAATAGATCACACTTGGTCAGTAGAATGGGTGAAGAAGGGGAAGAAAGATAAACCATCAAAAAGACAAAAGAAACCAAA